GAATTCTCATGTGAAGTTTTTATCAGAAGTGCCCGATTTGACAATCAGTTTATAACTAAATCAGTCACCAGTCACTCATAACTTATGAGTCATAAAATTACCAAGGGTACAATTGAAATTTCAAGTAAAATGTTAAACAGATAACTATTATACAGTAGTTACCATTATTTATAATCTAACTTATATTACAGATTCTATAAGTTTCTTGGAATTAAACTCACAGAATCCTTATCAATATACAGTCATTCATTTCTTATTGTCACTTGAGTTTCCAAATTTTAAACATTACAACCAAATTCATATGAATCAAATGAACATTTGTTAAAATAATCTTTTATTAATTGAAAAGAGTGTCTAATTGTAAATACATTCTATGTTTTGCAGAATTGATGTAAAATTCTTTGAAGAATTGAATACAAAATTTCATTTCATTAAGTGTTCCCAAATTTAGAGTAAAAATTCATTGTTTTCCCATTAAATGCCAGTTTAGGGACCCATTCAAACATAAGCACACATTTTAATTATGGTTACGGCAGAGGTATGTATTGAGCGCTAATAATACTTATTGTTTGAAGTGAATTACTTTTTATGGCACCAATTGTTGACATTTCAAAAATAAAGACTAAAATTTTAAATATAATAGAAATAAATTATTGAAAATAAATAACTTTACAGTGATTTTGCATGGAATGAGAAAAAATAATATAAACCCTAAAATGATCGAAATATGCGGTAATTTGATATCAATTAAAGGCAACATAAGTAATAATTTAAAACAGAGAAATAAAACCTAAAATCCATTAGTTATACAATTCGTCAAAAGAATATTTCCGCAAAAGTTAATGAAAATTGTTTCTAATTATAGTTCAATGGGTTATCATTTGGAGTCTCCGAGTTTGTCCTCTAGATTCTCGACAATGGCGTCCAAGAAGTCCATTGTATATAAATAGTCGCCTTCTTTGAGGCTATAAATGAAGAATAAATAAATCAAACCAAATCTAAATCAAAGTCAATATACAGATGACATACTTCTTGAGGCCATGTATACAACCGGCCAAATCCTTAGTCAGGTGCCCGTCATCTACGGTCTCAACGCACGACTTCTCAAGACGTCTGACAAACTTAGCCAAAGCCTTGTTGTTGTCGAGCTTAGCCCTGTGGTCCAGACCTCGAGTCCACGCGAATATAGACGCAATCGGGTTAGTACTGGTAGGCCTTCCCTTCTGGTGTTCCCGGAAATGTCTGGTCACTGTTCCGTGCGCTGCCTCCGATTCAATAGTCTTGCCGTCCGGACAGATGAGCACAGATGTCATGAGACCGAGCGAACCATATCCCTGTGCGACCACATCTGACTGGACATCGCCATCATAGTTCTTGCACGCCCACACAAACCCACCGTTTGACTTGAGCGCCTGGGCCACCATGTCGTCGATCAGCCGGTGCTCGTACCAAATGCCCGCCGCATCGTATTTAGCCTTATATTCGCTGCAATATTTCAGCAATTGTTAAATACCAGTCGATAGAGTCCACAAAATGAGTGGACATACCGGTCGTAGATCTCTTGGAAGACATCTTTGAACCTGCCGTCGTATTGCTTAAGAATAGTGTTTTTGGTACTCAAATAAAGTGGCCATTTCTTGCTGAGGGCGTACTCGAAGCAACAGTACGCGAAACCAGTGATTGACTGCAACACACAATCACATCATTATTGGCAACCATTCATACTGTACTGGTACAATCATACAATATAATACATACCTCAGTGGTGTTGTACATACTCAGGGCTACGCCACCACTCGCTGTCTTTCCCTCGAAGTTATAGACTTCCATGACGTTTGGTTTAGTGCCGTCGGCCGGAGTGTATATAAGTTCTACTTTTCCCGGACCATTGATTTGTAAATCTTGGCACCGGTACTATAAATAAAGAATATTCTTAACAACGCTGTCATAATATATGAAATAGTATGCAATACTTGATCAGCGAAGGCATGTCTGCCAATAACGATAGCACGTGTCCAACCGGGCACTAGTCGTGGAATGGATTTGCATATAATTGGTTCCCTGAAGACAGTGCCGCCCAATATGTTTCTGATGGTGCCGTTAGGTGAGGGCCACATCTTCTTCAGATTGAACTCTGCATACAATCAACTGCTTTAACAATCAAATTCTAGTCAAATAATGGCACAACTGGTCTAACCCTTGACACGGGCGGCGTCGGGCGTAATGGTGGCGCATTTTATGCCCACATTGTATTTGAGTATAGCCTGTGCGGCATCGTATGTCACCTGGTCTTCAGTCTGGTCCCTATGAGGTAAACCCAAATCGTAATAAAGACACTCGAGATCCAGATATGGAAAGATTAGCTGTGAATACATCAAGATATACAGAATATGTGTTCATACAGTCACTGTTTCACAATATGATTGATAACTACAATCATTAAAGTTAAGTGCAATAAGAAAAAGATAGATAAGAATATGTATGCCTACCCTCTCCTTGATTTTTTCCCAGATGACCCTGGTCATCTCATCACCATCCATCTCCACAATAGGGTTATCCACTTTAATACGCCTATCGGTTCCATCTATAAAAATAAAGATTATAAATATTTATATTTAAAATATTTTGCTAATCATTTGGCGTAATATTAGGTATGAGATATGGATTTGAGCCAAATCTTGACATAATGTACAGTATACTACATACATTCAATTTACTTAATTATTAGTAGAAAATATTTCAAAAAAACTTGAAAATACTTTTAGATAAGAAAAATCATTTCAAGGATACCACAGAACTTATGATTGAATTCACATAATATTGATTTAATATGCGAAATTATTGCAATTTGCAAATTGCATCAAGTTTCTTCTATTACAATTGTATTTTATAATATTAGCTTTATTTTGATATTCAAAAAAAAATCATTAAATACCGGAAATGTTATTAAAATAATAATACAGATTTTAATCTAGAATTTCAGTTTATGTTGCCAAAATAGGAATTACATTAATGTATATTCAAATGTCAAGTAAATCCTAAACAAATGTTTAATTATATTTAGATTTTGTCTGAAATATACCTAAAAAGGAAATTAAAGTCAAACTCAAAATCCGATCCTGAGTTCAACAGATATTTCAATTAAAATCTAAGAAGTCTGTTATTCAATACAAAAACATGCAATTATACTGTAATTTAATGATTGAAATTTAATAGGTCTATTGTATTACTGAATAATATATTAGCTACTAATCCAGATACACTATTGATTTAAGTTTGTGTTTCAGCAACAAAGTTTTATATATCGATTTATATAACAAAACTATTACCCATTTTAATTAAAGAAAGCAAAAGTATATAATATATATTACATATAGTATATATATTATATATACAAAATATTTTTGGTGTTTATAGTCAAGAATTTGAACCATAAGTCCAAAGTTTAAGTGAAACAAATCAACTACTTTTCCAAACACTAACCTCCAATTATTAGTTGTTATTAATATTACACAACTTTTATACAGAATTTTGTATTTGTGTTAAATGTCATTGAAAATGAAATGATATATTGAAGTTTTGAAGTGCAGGTGTTTTGCAATCCAAATTAACCATTAGTTTAGCCACAATTATGTGATATATTATAGCAATATTGATTTACTATCTATTTTATAAATTTATTAAATACTTAAATAAAAATACAATTCATGTAAAAATTCTATACCAGTTAAAACATTTTCAAGAAAGTTTAAAAGTTTCCTGCTTATGTTTACCACAAATTGTTTTTCTATTGTATGATAAACAGTGATTTGACTGCTTTCCACATAATTCACTACCAATT